AAGCTACAAAACAGACGAACAATTGATGACAATACAACACGTTCAAAATATTATTCGAAATAAATTTAAGATGTTTTACGTTTATTGTTCGCTATCATTAAAAGAATGGTGGTTTAAATCGTTTTTTGAAATTTTCTCTTTCAATTATCTGATCGTCAAGCAATACATTTGGTTTTGAAAGCGTAAAAATGCTTAACATATGACTTTGAAGTGATTGTACCGGAAATAAAGAAAATGAAATAAAATTTCGGTTGCTATATTAAAAAAAACTAGTGCGAAGATAACATTGTATTTTTTGGATTAGCAAACCGGACTTCATATATCGGTCATTATGATGGATGAGCCTTTGTAATGGGAGTCGTACTAACGAGAGTGGGTTTTATTATCTTTAAACTAATTTTCTCATATCTCAAAGCAAACTTGAGGGGAATTACAATTTTAGACTATGTCAACCTTCATCTATCAAAAGGTTACCTCGTGATAGAATCAAGTTAACATGCCTTATATACTAGTGAATTGGTATTTAATATTTGTAGTGGTAGTTACGCCACATTACTCCCCTTCCAGAATTTTATCTGTGATAGAATTCGATGAACGAATGCCACTAGTTGATTCATGCTGTTTATTTATTTATATAAATTTTTTCTCATTATATTTTTTCTTCACTTTTTTTATTTATAGCATTTCGCTCATTTTTTTGTTTATTAACCGGGAGAATTTATTTACTACACCGGATTTTTTTTCCTTGAGCAGTATATTTTTTAAGCAAATCAACTGTTTAATGCGGATCATCCGTCGATATGGGCATGTTCTTATTACGTCCGGGTCACCAATGAGGGGACTTACAATTTTAGACTGTGTCAACCTTCATCTATCAAAAGGTACCTCATGATAGAACCAAGTTAACATGTCTTATATACTAGTGAATTGGTATTTAATATTTGTAGTGGTAGTTATGCTACATTACTCCCCTTCCAGAACTTTATCTGTGATAGAATTCGATGAACGAATACCACTAGTTGATTCATGCTGTTTATTTATTTATAAAAATTTTTGCTCATTATATTTTTTCTTCATTTTTTTAAAAATTTATATCATTTTGCTAATTTTTTTTCCTTCATTTTTTTTGTTTATTAACCGAGAGAATTTATTTACTACACCGGATTTTTTTCTCCTTTGAGCAGTATATATTTTAAGCAAATCAATTGTGTAATGTGGATCATCCATCGATATTGGCATGTTCTTATCACGTCCGGGTCACCAATGAGGGGAATTACAATTTTAGACTGTATCAACCTTCATCTATCAAAAGGTACCTCATGATAGAATCAAGTTAACATGTCTTATATACTAGTGAATTGGTATTTAATATTTATAGTGGTAGTTGCGCCACAAACTAAAGATAGAAACTTTTAAGTTGTTTCGAATAATACAAAGAAATAATGAAATTACTTTAACTGGTGCTCCTGATCTAGGAACAGCATAGTTGAGGTAAGGGTTATTTGCAATCTTGCCGCAGGTACAAGGGAGTAATATTGGTACGCTCATTAATGGCATCTGCTTTTTAGGAGATGTTGAAGGTGAAGCATTGCTACTGCCACTGCTACTCACAGAGGGCATGTCAACATCGACATTTGGTTTTCCCCAGCACGAGCATAAGAGTCCTCCACCAAACAGTAACAGTTCATGGGATGTTTGGTCTGTTGACTTTTGTTGCTTCCAGCAGGTGCAAGGCCCACCTTCTCGAATAGGACCAAGTCTGTCTTTGTCCTCCGTGAGGCTTAAGCGGTTATATGGAAAATTAGATCCAGACGAGTTTTGATGGTGTATATTTTTTGGTCTGAAATATTTGAATAATATTTTAGATATCAATTTATTATAAAGACAGAAATATGTATGAAATTATAAAATAATATATAAGCAATAATTTTCAATCTTAAAGGCTATAGAACGTTTAATTACCAGAATTAGTTGAAAACCATATTTTGAATAATTTCTTTTTTTAGAATTTATTTATTTTGTTTCTTCGACGAAACGAGTTTTTTCATTATTAAAAATTATGAATTTTTTACTTAATTCTTAATTAAATAATAAGAAGATTTTGTTGAAATCAATAGTAAAATATTCTTTTTTATTTTACATTTTTGATACATAAATTCGAATAAACAAAGGAAATTGGATAAATTCATTTCGGTAAAAAAACAACAACATTATTTTAACTCTTAAGCTGTCGAGTTACTTGATTTTTACTAATAGTTCTATACTTAGTAATGCTTTTTTACTGATTTACAAAGAATAAACCAGTTTGAAAACCATGGTCATTAAAAAAAAACATGTATATATAGTAAGAAAAAGCATTATTAACACCTTGAAATCATATAAATTGGTGTATTTTTTTGTTAAGGGGGAAGTTAATTTTGACATCCTGTGTTTGAGAATGTAGTGGATATTGAATATGCAACAATGAAATACGTGGAATGCGTAGATATATGCATATTGAAATTTAATAGTTTCTAAACTTTATGGTGAATTCGTACCTGTCATAAAAAGCTTCTAAACAATTTTTAGGCACTGAATATTCGGACATACTACTACTACTACTAGAGCTGGTGTTGCTTCCTGTACTAGTTCCGCTACTTTGGCTACTCTGAGAGCAGAGAGAAGATCTGTCATGAGGCGAAGCCTTGGTGCGATTTCTGGTACAACTTCGAGTCTGGACATTGGCTTGGGTTTCATCTTTGGAAGGGGATACAATACCCAAATCCATTGTCCACTGGGGTGTGAATCCGGTAGGTTCTCCTTCTCCGGCGGGTGCAGTGTTTTCTTTATCTTGAGTGGCGGCATTCCTTCGACAATAATGGACACCGCAACCTTGGCAGTGACCGACAGCCCTGTGTGAAAAATACAACAATTATAATCGAAAAGGACAAAACTATTTTTCATGAAAAATTATTTACTTTTTTCATGAAAAATTTCATAAAAAATTTTATATTCTCGAACATTTTATGTTTGTTTACCATATTAAGTTTAAAAAGTCTTGAAGTTTTTTGTGTTTATAATAATTTTTTTTCGAATTTCGTCTTGAATAAGAAAGCTACTTTTTTGTTTCGTTTAGAGTTGATGTCTTCTAATAAAATAAAAGTATAGCTTACAAGAATTGCAAAATTTTCTCTCTAAGTAAGCTAATTTAATTTAGTAATTTGTCCTTAATAAAATTCTTGAAGAAAATCTAAGTTTTTTAAGGTATTTTACTAAATCGTTGAAAGCTTAGAAACTTCCTTATATACTCTGTGCAAAACATCAAGCAAATCGTTTAGCTGAACAATGAACGGCAGACCGGAATAGCCTGGTTGGTAGCGAGTTGGGCTAAGGTCCAAGAGGTCGTGAGTTCAATCCCTTTCGGTTGATGACTATCCGTCTAGTAAATGGTGATTGGTGCACGTTAAATCTGTCGGATCACAAAATCTTCCAAGTTCTCATGGCAATTGAATACCTCTGAGGGTACTGAATTGGAGATTGATCGTTCTCTGGTTCAGGTCAAAATTATGATCTGTGGATGTATGAATGGGCCAGCCCTATAAACGAGCAGTGACGTGTGTGTTCTTTATACTACTTTTGCTAATATTTTAAAACGAGATTTTTTTTCCACGAGAATAGTGACGAGTAAAATGTTTAGTCTATCAAGTACCTTTAGAATTGAAATCTCACTTGCTGGTCAACACAGAAATATTATATACTTATCCCTGCAAGTAATGAATAAGCTACATAACACACTCACAAAACGTCACTGAAACATGTTAAAATAACTTAAAGTCGAGTTATGCAAAAAAAAATAAAAATAAAATCGCCACATAAATTTTAATATAAAAGTCTAAGGTCATCCAGGATATTGAGAACAAAAAAAATTTAACCTATATGCAACGATAGCTAATAAATTTTTGGGCGCTATAAAAGTTGTATAGTGTTCTTTTATAACTTGAACAGCTCGCTTTGTTGATTTGAGTTAATGTTGTCGCATAATGCAATATCATATTAATAATAACATTCCATTTAAATCCAAGCTTAAGAAGTCCTTCATTATATTTGAAAATGAAAATTACCACAGCATTTGTCCATCAGATGCTCTACCATGGCTGCCCACCGTAGACCTTGCTATTGTCTTACTACCATCCTCACCAACAAGGTCACCCCGAGCAGTCCTGCATGGTACAATACAAGATGGCCATCTGTAATGAAAATGACAGGGTCGTATGCCTTTGCCTGGATCACTGCCATCAGAACTGGAACTGAGCAAAGGTTTGGTTGAAGATTCTGAACTGCAAGTCTCTGAATTAATTTTGTCATTGTCAGATGCTTCCATCCCACTGCAAGGCTTATTTCCTAAAGATGAATGGCTACTACCATCAACTCCACCTGAAAGTATAAACATAATTTATAGACTTCGACATACCTCACCTTGAAGAAGTTCATTTTATTATTAATTTTTATTAATTTATTACTCATATTGATATTGTATGCGCTTAATATTTATATTTGTAAAGTGAGGCATATGATTTTATCTTTAGCGAAACCATTTTAGGAAAGTCATTGGAAAAAAAATAAGCAATTTAATTGATGTTGAATGCCACTTTTTCAAGGTAATATGACAATATGATGGTAATATGACATGGTAATATTCGTGTAGCCTCTTAACTGTTTCGTTTTGATTGTTTGCCTCATAAGTAAAGCGACTTTCGAAGCAAGGAGAGAGATTCAACACTCTTAGTAAATGTTTATCTTCTTAAAAATTATTTTCTCATCTTGCTTATATCAGTCACTTACAGTTTACATTAACTCGAAAAATATAATAACTTATATTTCTATGTGAATATAAGCCAATAATGCAAATTTAAAATACTATTTAATGGTTTAATCAAATACATGATTCTAACCTTCAAAATAGCTAGAAATAAAACATATTTAACATTCTTTGTGGTTTGCCTTTATTTAAATTGCAAAAGTAAATGCAAATAAATGGTGAATTTTTTTTAGCTTAACACAAGTGACATTAAGAAGAAATAAAAAAGGGTATTTTGTTCCTGTTCTGTATCATACTTGTATTTTTTCTGACTGAAACTTTTCTTTTGCCTGGAAGTCTACCTCTGGAAGCCATATCAAAAGCTTGAACCAAATCCTTTGCTTGATTTGTCAGCAATACATGAAGACCTTCACCTGAAATGTAATATTTAATCATTTAAAGGATAAAACGCGGAAAAAAAGAATTCTGGTAATTTTACTGTACTGTATGGTAATACTATTTCTGAAAAAAAATACAACCATTACTGTGGTAACAAAACCAAAAATATACGGTATTTAAACCATTTATTTGGTAATTCCTCCATTCAAATGGTAACAATTTGCCGAAAATTTTGGTTCTAAAAATTATAATTCGTTTTTCCACGCATTTTGTAAAGAAACTCTTAAATAAAAAGTAATTTTAACCGAAAAATTGGTTTTTATGACTTGATCTAGGGTATCATGATAAACTTACCAAATTCTACCACACTTACCAAGTTATATCGCAGATTATTAAATCATATTTTGTTAATTTTACCAAAAATATTACTAATGCGCTTTGATAAAATTACTGAGTTTTTGGTGTTCACGTACAGTAAGAGGCTTGGTAAATTTTACCAGATTCCGGTAGTTTTAATCATACATTTCTCTCAGTGAAAGTAAAGTTTAAGTATTACGAAACACCATGCATAATTTTTTATACTAATTTTACATCCAGAAAAATAGATCTAATCATTGATCACGAACCATATCACAGTAAGTTAAATAAATATAAACATATGTTGTGAAACGACAACTGTTATAACATGAGGTAGAAATAAAGCGTATAGCTATTAAAAACTTGTAAATGAGAATAAAAAAGCTATTTTATGTTTATTAATGCAATGTGCATGACACGATATTGTAGCTCTTAGAGTACTTTGATTTTTGCAACTGAATTGCGATAAGGACAAATCAGACTCATTACTGCAGCAAATACATTATGCTTATAATAGATTATCAAACAAAAATTGCTAATACATAAAATAATACTGAAATTTGAAAAAAATTGTTTTTTCTTTGAGATTTTCACTGAACATTGATGATAAACTGGTTTAGAAAATTAAAACATTTAAAAAATTTAAAACAAGGATTAAAACAAGATTAAGAATAAGACAACATCAAAAATGTTTATTTAAAGTTGGCTTGAAAGGGTGAAAAATATACAATGAAAAGAATTTCGAAACATTGAATCAATAATTTTACTTTGATTTTAAGACATTAAGCAGAAGGCGAAAATAAGTTTCAGTTTTCGAGTTTTCTGTGTAAAATAACTTTAACGATAAATGCGAAAAAAGAAAAAATTCGATTGAATAAAATTTAATTAAAAATCTATTTTGAATTCAACTTATTTCTTTTCCTAACACCACATATATGAAAATTATTAATAGCTTTTTTAACGAATACATTCTTAAGTTTTTTAACTATCATAAAAATAGTTTTGTTTGAAAATGAGAAGAAGCAAGCTATTCAGCAATTTGCAACAAAAAGATTGCGTAAGACAAAATGCAATTATTTTCTAGACGTTGGAAATTACTTATTTTCATTCCCACGCTTCTCATTGTGGTTTCAAAAATAGAAAAATAATTTTTATTTTCTTAAAAATATAATATGAAAAAAGGAAACATACTTTGAAACATAGGAGGAAAATATTTATATATTTTAAGACCTGAGGATATTAATCATAAAACTGAATGTGTTATTAGATTAATTTTTTTAGCAATTATATAGATATATACCTAAAATACTTTTTTAAATACTAATTTTATATTTCTTCTTGATTGATATGTAACAAAATGAAAACTAGAAATTAAACAAAGTAACGCATTAGTTAGACTTGATTTAAACCATAAAGTTTAATATATCATTTAAACCATAGAGTCTTATAAATTAATCAAGATAGCAAATTAAATATTCATCGAGCCGGGAATAGAACAAGCGAATTCCAAGGCATTGTTCTATGTTACATTAAGTCGATATATATGGAACAACTCGTAAATATTAGACACATGCTCCATTTAAAGATTATCTATACATTTCAGAGATTCTAATGGATAACTAATGGACATGGTGGATTGACATTAACGACTTCATCAATATGTATCAGACAGATATAGTAAGTTAAATGAATAACTGAGTAAATAGTAGATAAGGAATTATTATTAAACCATATATTACTTGCCATTCATGAAAGAAAAAGTTGATGGATGGCTTAGAGTTGCTTTCTATATGGAAGTTTGTTAATAATATAGTAGTAGATGTACAATTTTATTAATATGAAATATAATTTATTTCTTTGGTTTCTGGAGATTCAAATTTGGAGATATTTTTGTGCACTGTAATTAGTTATTTTCAATAGCTTTTTTTCATAAAAAGCATGCAAAATATGATACATTGTTACTTATAAAAAAGTCATTACTTTTAAAAATGTTTTCAACCATTTCTGTATAAGAAATTGGCCGTAAAAATGAGTAAATATATATTTTTAGTACGCTATCGGAAACTATTTTGCAAAGTTTTGATTATTTAATCAAATTAGGAAAAGTACTCACGATTTTTTGGAAGAATCATTTAAACAAGGGCATCAGAGAATTCTGCATACTGTAAAAAGTACCGGATCAAATTCGGGTAAAAAGTATCGGCACTCAGAGTTACGAAATAAAAATTCTTATGCACAGCAATTGTTATAGTAATATTTATTGTAAAATAACTGAATGACTGTAATTAATTAAATAAATATTACAAGTAAAAAGTGCGGTATAAAATTTTACAGTAAAAATTAATTTCACGGATACTGCCCTCAAAGTACAAGTACTTTTAATTGTAATTTGATCCGGAATTTTTAACAGTGAATTCAAAATAAACTATGGGTAAAGGGTGATTCAATGCTACAATTCCTTAACCTAAACATACTTTTTTCATAAAAAATATGCAAAATATGGTATTTCAATGTTATATGTACAAAGCTGTTACTTATAAAACTGCTTCCAATAATTTCTGTATTGAACATTTGTTGCTCATAAATGCTTGTTATGATGTATTTTTAGCACGCTGTCCGAAAAGTTCTTATAAAGTTCAGATTATTGAATCATATAATGAAAAATATACATGATTTTTAGAAGAATTATTTGAACAAGTGCGTCAGAGATTACAAAATGCGAAATAAACTCTGCAGATTGAATGATTCAATGCAACATTTTATTAATTTCAATAAGCCTTTTTACATAAAAAAGCATTCAAAATATGATGCTCCAATGAAATATGAACGAAGCTGCTCTTATAAAACTACTTCCAATCATTTTTGTATCAAGTATTGGTCGTAAAAATGGGTAAACATATATTACAAGAGTGTTTTACAAAACATTTTGATTATTGAATTAAAAAATACACACAATTTTTACAAAAATATCAGAGAATATTATATGTCAAATTAACTCGGTGGAGAGGTGATTCAATACAATTTAAATAACATTGTTTCTAAAATTTCGAACAACTTTTTCCATAAAACGCCGAGTATATAGTCAGGTGATTGTTTCGAAAAGGGGTTACTTTAATTAAGGAAAGATTTGAAAGAAAATTCTATTTCGTATGCTTAAATTACAATTAGCAAATATTTCATCACATAAAAATCTAAGGGTACCCTTTTCCATGAACCTCAAAAAAATTTTTTTTTTTGGTATTTTACATTGGGTCTTCTAAATTTAGAGATTTTTTTCAGTTTTGAAAATTAGACAAAAAGTCTTCGAGAAGCAATTTTTAGTAATTTTACGACATTTAATATGTATGTGCAGAGTGCGCAGTAGATCTAACTTCTCGCGGTGCATCTGGTAACACTTTTCAGTGGATAAAAGATCTGCATTTTGGCATTCTACTTTACTATTCTGCTCTATGGAAGACTTTTCTCGCTGAGCGTTATTGGGAGGCTAGCGATATATTAGATTAATGAACTCTGTTTCAGCATTTATTTGTACTCTGTACTCTCTTTCTTTTTACTTGTTTTCTGCTGTAATTGTTCATAATCTGCCATTAGAAATATATGTATGTNTAATTCAAATTAAAAGCAGTCAAAATGACTTCCTTAGGCAATCTAGTGTTAAATTTAAAATTTATTAAATTACGTGAAAAACAATTGCTTTACTGCTTTCAGTCTATAGTTGCCATTAAACATGGACATTTAAATTATTCATTGGATTATACGGAATAAATATACACTGTTCCGATTGGGTGACGGAGTTATGCAGGGTGCAGGACTTATGGACTAATAGTGCTTCGTTTAGGTGGTATAGTTTTGCAAATATTCCTCCAAACAGAAAAAAATATCACTGTTGACGATAGTCTTGTTAAACCGAAAATTCACATATTTATTATAACATATATTCTTATCATATATATATATATATATATATATAAATATACAGAATATAATTTGAAAAATAACAATTTGATAATCAGTAAGTTGAGATGATAAAAAAAAAGAGTATAAAAATAAAAATGGGTGGTGCTATCAAAACCAAAGAAACTTTTAACACATATTTTAACGCAAAAGCCAATATGAATTTTAGCAATTCATGTATCTTTCGTTAAATTGAAACTTTGACAGACGAAATGAATACCTTTGCCACATCTGGATCCGCCTTCGAAGCAGAACTTTCCATCCACAACTCCAAACCTTCGCAACTCCCGAAGTGGCCAAATTCCCAAGAGTTTGGGCGGAACACCTGCTGTAAGGCAGAACATGTAGTCCAATAGATGCAGGCGAGCTGGCCCACTTGCCAGTTTGCTTTTTACTGGAACGTGAGCTATCTGCACCAGGAACTGATGTTCTAGAAAGAAAGTGATAATACTGTCTTTATTAATTCTAATAAAGATAAGATCATTTGTTAATACATCAGGGTTGGAATATGTTACTTTAAAAAAGAGGGCAAGTTTCAAGTAAAAATTATTTATGAATGAAAATACAGTTTTTTCCTGGAAGAAGTGTTAGACTGGTTTGGCATATAAAAGAAGTCACATTTAATAATAAATTATTAAAATCATAAGACGAAAATGTGACAGTTCAGAAAAAGCATAACACGAAAGCGTTCGTATTATCATTTTTAACAATTAAGGCTCTTATTTTCTATTCGATATTTAACAGAACTCTTTTTTTCCTAGTTTCCATTTTTTTAATACTAAGTTGATTATTGATGAATGAAATATACTTGATAAATATATCTTTTAACATAATAAATATTATTTTAATCTCTCAAAATTGAGCATACGCTGTAGTATGATCAATTTTAAGAGTTTCACGAGTACCGGCATTCAGGGTACCGGTACTTTTTACCATAGGATCCATTTTTATAGGAACATGCTACGAAGCAAAAAATCTGATATACTTTAATTCTTACAGCAATAATTTCTGTAAACTCACTGAATCACTCTATTTAAATGAATATTACTGTAAAATTTAAAGCATAATATTTTATGGCAAAATGCATTATACGGTTTCACATAAAGTGTCGGTACTTTAAAGAAGAATTAAAAATTGCTATTTTCCAATAAAAATTTCCCACAGCTTCAGAGTAGAAAAACTTGTTAATAATAGCATTTTGCCATTTAAATTTAAAAAAAAAAATGTAAACAGATATTTCTGTCTGACAAGATTTAAGGGCATTTTTTCGCAATTAAATTTACCCTTATAGCACGAAAGAGTATCTTATAGGAAGAATAATTTTTTTTTAAACTTAAAAAAAAATTCTTTGTAAATGACTATATAGTCATATTATCAAAGTTGGTTTAGAGCATTTTTGCGTAACAGAGTTTCCACTAGAACCTTTAGTTTAGTTAACATTTATTGCAAATATGTTGTTCTTCATATTTTTAAATAAAAAATACTGAAGTAAACAAAATATTCCGAAATATTGCTTTAATTACCAACACATGTGTCGACACTCTCATCAAATCTTAAAAAGAAATAAAAGGACAGATTTTGTAGCAAAACATGTGAGGTTTAAAATTGAACCAAATGGATCAAAACCAGGCTAATTAACAAATAACAAAAATAAAAAATAGCAAAATGATTAAAAATTTCTATGAAAATGAAATGCAAAGATGAAATTCAATGGTGAAATTAATGATGAAATGAATCATTATTCGAGATCTTTAACAGGCAGAGTAGAACAGTTTCCAAGCGCAGAAAAAGCCTAGATTCTAAAATAAATATATAAAGTTTTATTGTTAAGCTTAAGGAAAAGACAAACGAATAACAATTGTTAAATATAAAGTGAATGCATTTTATAAAAATCGAAACAAGGTCACATTTTTCATTTATAAATAAAACAAAAATTTACAATTTTTAAATTAAAAACAAAAAGTTATGCAAAATTAAGAAACATTCATCTATTTCTCAACTACTTATAATTCCAATAAATATCCCACATTTTATACATTGTTAGAGAAAAATGGTCTTTTAGATTAAACTTGTAGTAACTTATTCCCTTCTAAAAATAGTTTTAAAGAACTTGTCTACCCAGGCACTGTTACATTGTCGCCAAAACTATTCTTTATCTGCAACATCAAAGAGCAAGTGTAACAAGAAATAGTGCTCTAAAATTTTTATCGAATCTATTTTGTTAAAAGCTTTCAAGTCTAGTCACCATTTATCTTAATTTCAAGTTTAGACAATGAACAAAGACACTGGTATTTCTATTGAAGAGTAAGATGGATATAAGTAATGTCTAGATGAAAAATTGTTCAACAGGAAGTATGGACATTATTTTTTTGGTTTCCTTAAACTATTATTCTTGAAAGATTTGATTTGTTAAATGTGCAAAATAGTGAAGGCTGTTTTGTCGTAAAATTTATTCAGTGTGTTTGTGTAAATGAATTCAATGATTTTGTAAGCATTGCATTTTTTAGCGTTGTTATAGTTTGCTCATAAGGTTCCACAAATTAAGGCGGACAATAAGAATAACATTTTTCCCATTTTTGGAATAAAAAAAATAATAATAATAACAATAATAATAATAAAAATGGTAACTTCTCAATTTTCTTTTATAGAGCATAGAAACTTTAATGATAACCAAGTCGAATGCATAGCACAACTGTATTTAAATATTCTAATTCTTCAATCTCTTCTAAAATCCTGTCCTGCAGTGGACTGATCAAAAAAACACGGTTCTCAGCAGAACACTGAAGTCAAGCATCACTGGTTGCGCTCAGTAAGTGGGTGGAGAACCACACTGATAAGCTAGCGTAGGGACTGAGGGTGGTGGGTATCGGTCTTCGTTAAACTGTTCGACCGTAAAGTTCTCGACTTCACGCGCAGGTCATCGCTTACAAAAGCAGGGGTGCCACCCCCTCTGCAGAGGATCAAAATTGCGATGGCATGTCATCGGATTATCCTCAGGGATGTTTCCTAGACAGTCGCCAATAGCCTATTGTTTTAGTTGTGAAAAAATTATAATTTATATATAATGACCACATCTTTGATTTTTTTAAAACCATGCGATAATTATACCCTGAGACAGTGTTTAAGATATGCATAATTTGTAATAATTTCGATTTGCAGTGGGTGATTGTTGTGCTGAAATCTTTTAGATACAGTAAATGTTATGGTATGCAAATATATTTCAGTTTAATGTATTATTACAATGTTATTACTTATTTAAATGTTAATATTATACTTTCGGAGTTCGTTAACTTGTTCTGTGACATAAAACATTGATGCCTGAATAATTTTTATTTAACTATCTTGTTTTCTCTGAAATTTTCGATTCGGTTGTTGCAAAGTTAATAAGTTTCGAAACCTCTGGCTCTTGAAATCCTCTGACTCTTAATTAAATTAACTAGGTTTCATGGGTAATTTTTCGAAAATAATTAGCTTTTTTGTGCCATAACAAAGTAAATTTCTTTAGGCTAATTAATTTTTAATTAAGTTTCCGATTTGTTAAAAACACATATAAAAGTTTCAAATTTCGTTTTCTTTCCTTCTAGCCCTTTATAATAAATACCTGCATCATAAAATAGGGAATGTAATTTCTGGAGAAAGTGGTTTTAACATCCATAATTCTCGATGCAATAAATGCCTTGAGAAATTTTGAGCACGATAGGTTCATGTTTGCCTCAGACTTTTATATATTAGGTTTAAACAAAGCACTTCTATTCTTTGCGTAATACATCTGCAATATAATTTTCTTAATTTAAAGCCTTAAAAGCTTAAAATATTTGTTTGCTAAAAAAATAAAATTTGTATAAATAAATTTGCAAAATAAGTTTGCAAAATAAAATTGTCCCATGGTATTCAACAAGGTGTTTTCCTTTGGAACAGACTACAATTTCTACTTTTACATGGTTTGCAAATTTTTATTTAAAATTTAATAGTGTTGTAAAATATGCATAGCAGAGGAAATCATTTCGGTATTTATATGTTGTCATTAGATTCTAAATGTGACTGTTATAGCTGACTCTTAATATCGAGAAGGGAAAAGTGTTCCTAGATACAAAACTGTCCCACATATTTAAACACTTCATTTGGAGCAATTCAGAAAATTAAATTTAGTATTTATGAATGATAAGTAGAAAAAAAATATGATTCACAAATAGTACTAACATTACAACTCATTGAAGAAACAATCTTTATATTAAAAAACGTTTGAGATATTTTCTCAGACTCTATGTTTTAATGTATAAATACACTCTTAAATATCTGTTATTTGATTGAAGGTCTTAATATAAAATTTTTCATCCCATACGTGCACCAACACATTGAAAAGCATTTAAGTAATTATGTTCGCTCCAATACCTCTGGCATTAATGAAAACTTTTCCCCTCTATAAAATGCCCTTTTGATCCGTGTCCTTTCTAGCACTGGGGCGTTTTTTTCATTAGTTTAAATGTTTTTACCCTCTACTCAATATAATGAAACATTATCGATCAAACAGAAGACATTGCAAGCCTAAAATAATATATCTGGTTTGTAGGAGGGAACCATAGAAAGAAGTTCGAGCTGGAACATTTTGTAAGAATAAATGTCGTCAGTTATAGAGGGGGAGGGGAGTAAAACTATGGTGGAATTTTGATGGGTGTTTTTTTTCCCTATGCTAAAAGAAAATTTTGACATGCATTAAGTTTTTGTGCTTTTGTATTCGAGATAAAAGACTAGTGTGTAATATTGTGTTTTTTTGATCTTATATGAGAGTCAAATATTTTTAAAAGTAATACGCTGTTTTTTTATGCTTTTGAATTCGGCCAAGACATCAGAGGTTCTTACTCAATGTCATTTTAATAAATTCTTGTAATATGGAAAAGTCTAAGGCTCATACATTTTGGTTATTTGACTTTAGATGTATAAAGTTTGTGTCAGAGAAGAGGAAGAAATAAGTGTTTATGTTTAAAATGCTTTTTAATAATTACTGTTTTTTTTTTTAATTTTGAGATTTTTCAATGTAAAAGGTAGTGTATGCATGACTAGAAAACATTCTTGCTATAAAGCTCCTATAACTTTAATTAAAAAAAATTATACAAGTTTATTTGTTAGATATATTATAATTATTAAAAGATGCGATTTTTCTAAAGTTACTATGGGATTGAAATAAGGAAAATGAGTTTAAAAACATAGTAAGTTTGACAGGTGTAAGATATTTAAAGTGATTTAAAAAAATCTTAACTTAACCTTAAAAAATTAACGTTAATTATACCGGACAAATAAATGAGGGGCAGTGGCCCTTTTCTTTAAAAATATCAGTGCAGGGTATACCGGCAGTAGCACTTAACCATATAAAAACATTAGTAAAGGGCATACCAGGAAAATGTGTATCGGGCCGTGACTCTTGGTTATACACAAAATTTAACCAAGAGGCTTTCAAACTAATCAACATTTTGAAAACCCTTTGTCAAATTATGAAAACAATTTTTTGAGCATAATTTAGTTTAAATATAACTTTTTATTTTAGGATTAGAGATAAATAAAAATTTACTATTATTTGAAAATTGCATAATTGACGAAAAAATAGTGGAACACTAATATCCCTCCATTTTACCCTTATTTCTGGTGAGCATTGTAGGCAAGACAGCGATTTAATCTGAAAATGCGATTAAACACATGATTAAACACATTTAATCGCGATTTAAACACACGATTGAAAGAGGAGGGATGTTCACAAGAATTTCTTTGAGCTCAGTCCACCAACTCTTCTCGAGGGAGTTCACCAACTGTCTCTTCAACTCTTCTCATCATTATTACAGACAGGTTTTGCACATTTTTTCCAAGATTTTCAGTAACAGTAAAGAAAAAAAAAACAACTCAAGCTATTGAAACTGAATTAATAAAAAATAGAAAATGCCAAAGTACTTTTAGCATACCTTCAACAAGATTCGCCCTGACCTTCACCTGCCACTGAATGAGAAGCTCTCTCGAGTCAAAGGCAAGTACCACGACGACTTCCGTGCAGATGAGTGCCATAGTATTGCTTTCCTTGTCCAGTGTGAAACCAGTCTCCATACCGAGGAAACCTTCCAGAGACAGAGATGCTTTCGTTGGTCCATTCTTGCACCGATCCTTGCTATCTCTGTACAGTTGAAGGTGTAGGCAGTCTGTTGAAAGAAAAAATTGCGAAATTTAGAAACATTAGATTTTCAAAACATATAAAGGAAGATATAAAGACATCAAGCAATTTGTGTAATTCGTAATGATATTTTTTTCCTACGCTAGCTTTTGGTTTTTGGCTAAATCCTTTCATCTTTTATCTTTCTTGTAACTGGCGAAATATCCTAATTTTCACTTCTCATTAATTTTCATCATCCGCGTTCTTAAACCCTCAAGCATAATTGACAAACAATTCCTTCAGTTTCACTTATACACCGAAGAGCCATTACATTATGACCACCCTTCTAATAACATGTAGGACCACCCTTAGCCCTCAAAACCGCTAGCACTCGAAGTGGCATTGATGCCACAAGGTATTGATGGGTAGTCTGAGGTATATGGTACCAAGCGCTCACCAACTGGTCCTGCAATTCCCTCACATTGCTAGGGGGTAGTGTGACAGCACGAATTTGGTTTTCCAAGTAGGACCACAAATGCTCTATTGGATTAAGGTCAGGTGAATTTGGGGGCCAAGACATGACTTGAAAGTCACTGGAATGTTCCTCGAAGATTCGACCCTTATGACATGGTGCATTATCCTGTTGGTAAACACTATCCCCCGCAGAAAAAACTGTTGCCATGAATGGGTAAACATGGCGTGCAACTATGTTCAAGTAGCTTACAGACGTCAGGGATTGTTCTATGAGGATTATGGGTCCTAATGTGCCCCATCAAAACATTGTTCCTGGGTGAGAAACCGTGGAAACCTGGGCGAGCCCATTGTTATAGATGGGGGTGGTCATAATGTAATGGATCTTCGGTGTATGTGATAAATAATCCTCACTTATATTTGGTAAACTTCATCTGACGTTTTTGTAGATAAAAAAACTACAGCATCCCAATTTATTAATATTAAAAATCTTGATTGCTATGTAGGAAAGTATACGCATTGAATTGTGGTTTTATCTTCATGCGCCACACAATTTTAGATTTAGCTATAAATGTGTTTTTTTTATTGGTAAAAATTGATTGGTGTCCGAAAATTAAATGAGTAAATTTATAGTTCTGTGAGGATATAATTTGGAACTTAAATATTCAAAACGTGTAACACGTTTTATTATGATAACGATTGCATTTTTATTTATCATTTAACTGTTAAATGACTGAGTGTTCTTAATGGCTAGAATTGTTGACCTATACTTAAAATCTTAATGTATTTCGACTCCTTTGGGTGGTAATCAAATTTCAAAGTTCCCCGACTGCGTTTGAAATAATTATTTATATTACGAGAAAATTAGAAACAGTTATCCCAAACTTTTTAGCGGGTGTGAGAAACTAACGCCGTTCCGTTAACGAGGCAGTTAAAACACATCAAATATCAAGAAACTGAATATTTAAGCATTTAGGAAATTCAAAATTAAACATTCATTAAACTTCTAACTAATTAGTTTCTTATGATGGCTATTTTTCAATTTCTTATTTAGCAATCAAGTAACATTGTAACATAATGATCACTATTGTACATCAGTACATCTTCAGTTATTGTTATCAATATTTCGCTTTTGATGTGCCCGTTAAACGTTTAGACAATCAAAATGAATTTAAAGTACTTAGTTTCACATATTAGTTTATTATTTCTAAAATAATAATGCTATTGTTGTGCGCAGGGTGTAACAAAACTACCGTAAGGAATACAACTCGTAAATAAAAACAACTTTTCTCATTCAACATGAGGTCCAACAGTAAAAGGTATGCGTTAGATAAATGCTCAATTTACAACAAACGCTCAAATAAGGAATGATGAGCTGAGATGAAGGCTTATCATCGGTAAAGGAGTGGTTTGAAAATTCCTGCAATTGGTAAGAGCAAATCGAATATGAACATGAATCCTCAGGTGACTTGAAAGAAGTCTCAGAAATTATGTTTTTCAGCTGTTCCTGGATAAAAAACTATGCTGGACAGAGGATTTCCACTAATCCACCAAGGCTGGTTCACCAAGGCCAATTCATCTGCTTGGAAAGATAACATTAGTTTATTTTAACTACGCCGACACCATCTCCGATCATACTTCAATTTTATACAGTAGGGTGAAAATCTCATCGCTCGTATCATCAGTTTTGTTACATCCTGTATACGTCATACTAAATTACAAAATTGTGAGTGGATTTAAGAAAATATTGTGAGAAGTTGCGTTCATAAATAGCAAATCATTGTAAATGTTCTTTTTAATTAAAACAGGTATTTAACTGTTCATATACAACGCACTGTGGGTCTTACTTCAAGGTACTTAAGAGAAATCTTGTTTACAACACACGCATTTCTTAGATAATAGATTTAGTGTGACAAAATGTACATTGACAATATCATTAATGGGCATAAACTCTTTTGAAAAACTCTATTTCGTGCCACAGCTTTCAGCCAAAACAATTTTTCCATACAAATGATGAAATTTTGACGAACAAACTATTTACATTATTTGGAATTACTTTAATCAGGCTATTGTTAAACATAAAACAAAATCACACTTATAAGAAATTTTTCAATTAAGAATTACTCAATTTTACACCTAAAAGAATTACTCAATTTTTTCCGGAAGATAATAGATAGATAGGTAGATAGAAGAAGTAAAATCAACTTCGACGAGTACAAAGCAGGCGAAAAAAAAATCGCCATTTGGCGTTTACCTACCAGACATCTTTCTATATATAAATATATCTATATAGCGCGAAAGAAAGAATTTGCTCTAAGCCGTTGGCGAACGCGCTGGAGCCAATAACTTGGGAATCGCAGAGCATGGTGGGTAGGTGGGGGTGACCAAGAAGAGGACGAAGATAATATTGGCCCGGGGTTATTTCTTCGTTTAGCGGAAGACGGAGGAAAATGAAGAAACAAAACGGAGCGGAAGAAACGGAAAAATAAATAAGAAAGACCGATGAAAAAGCATCAATGCCTTGGTAAAACTACGACCTTGGATATTGACGGCACCTTATTATTCCAGGCAGAAATTTTTGTTGGCGATTTTTTTCATCATCCATGGTGCCGATATCGGCAAGATATTGCCATAACCGTCATATGTCAATATACTAATAAATTTTTCTTACACCGTTCAATTTATTTTTTAAAATATTTTTAGAATGTGAAGGGGAACTATGATTGGATTATTTTATTTCGCATTTTTTTCATTTAGAATATTAAATATATATGCATATCAATAAGCAGATATTGAAAAATCAAAAAAAAAAACTTTTTTTTTTTCATTTTGTCTTAATAATTTTTTTTATTTCTCCGTTTCTTGTTTGAATGTGTGAGAAATTTAAAGAGATTTCTTTAAAAAAATACTTAAAATATAGACACATATCTGAAATTTTTTACATTAGATATAAATAGAATTCATTTAACTACATCTTAGAATAAAACAGACATTAGTTTTGCAAGCATTTCTTGGAAACACTGTCAATTTATTTAAAAAAAAATTTGTTTGAAATTTCTATCAGATTATCAGAGAACAATAAAGGGCTAATTTAAACTCAGTTCAGCAGCGACCGAAAATATTGTTCTCGAAGTGCTTAAAGATTTTTTTCGTGGAATCTTTCAAACATAAAGGGGATTTTATGCACTTCCTCCGAGTAATCCTATGCTGAAATAAACATAGAGAGTGAAATCCTTTGCGATAAAATCGAAAATGACTAAAAACGACATTTAAAGATACACATTTTTATCGTTTAGGTATTTAATGATTTTGTTACTTACAACGTTTAAGTTTTTCTTATGAATGATAAAATTTTTTACTGGTTATTTACTATTTTAAAGTTTTTCAAAAAAAATTATTTTTTGTAATTTAAAATTTTGTTTTTAAATCATTTATAATTTTATCACAAATCATTACTTTAGCTACTATAGCTATTGATAGTTTTGGAGTTTCTTTGCTTCATTTAATTTTTAGAAATATTTATGTTCTACTGAGTCTATAGTTATTAAAATTTTAAAAACAATAATAGTTCCTTTGAAACATTTTCAAAAATACTTGCAACCATATCAAAATTTGATAACAAGGTTCAATAGTTAACCACCAAAGCATTTAAAATTTGTCAACTAGATTTAATGGAATACATTTAAATAAACGAAATAAAACAAAAAATATTCCAAAATATAAATTTTTTCCATAAATAATGCTTTCAGATAATTATCTATAGGTAAACATCGAAGTTGAATAACTTTTCTACCGAAAGTGAGCCCATATGGTTAATTCATCAGTACATAAAAGTAAAATCCAGCTTAATACATTTATTAACAGCGAATTAACAAAAAAAAACTTAAAATTTTTAAGTTTTTATTTAGAAACTTGAACAAAACTTTAAATCTTAAATCTCACTGAGCTATTTACGATTTAAGTGATTACCACTTTCTTCGTTATTCTTTTTTAATGTAACGTAAGATGACATTTACGTCAAAACAATAGAAAACAATGGTTTTCAACGTCTTTCTCTTAACGATCATTTCGCCTCAGAGCCAACTAATCTACCATCATCATTCAAAGAAGACTTTTGAAATCAGATTAACAAAGTCCTTCATGACATAATTATTGTTTACATTTTGATTTACGATCGAATTTATAAAAAAGGCCGTTTTATTACCCTTTAATAAATTTCTAAAAGTTCTTTAATTACCCTAAGCATTTTGCCAATTGGCGTGGCAAACCATATGTATTTTTTAAAAAGTGTGGCATCACTTCAGAGCTTTCAACATTGACAACAGTTCCAAACTCAGTCTTGGACAACAGCCAGAAGTGGACTTTCTTTTGAAAAATTTCCTCCATTTTGCTTTTTGAGAATATATTCCCTTCTTTTCGGACCTGACTTATCATCAGTCATGATTGTGCCATTTGTTTTATTTTCTTGTCAGAAATGTCATGGATTGAGGATGGGAGAGGACAAGGGACGACAGGGGATCGATTATAGTTTGGATATGGGAGAGAACGTTTTGAAATGTTTATGTATAGGCTTGTTAATGGCTGTCCACAAACAGGCATGGAAGTTTAGAATGCTTTTGAAGATGTTTTAAATTTAAACATAATTTTATAAAAAAATTTGGAGGAAAGTTTGGAACCTTTAGCACAGTGGATTCCAAAATGTTTTGAAATAAAGTTCGCTTTAAATATGCTAAAACATATTTGTCAATGTAGTTTTTAATTATACATAAAAAACACTTTAAATGGGTCTAAAAATCTTTTCATTGAACGACACTTAAAAAAGAATGAAATTATTTCGGCAAATTTCGAAAGAATATATATTTAAAGCTTGCTGCTAAATTTTAAATGCTATTGCAGATCTGAGCCATTGGAAGGGTAGCTGAAGACTTCCCATTCGAATTAATGAAGAAGTTTTTTTACTGCCTAGTCTGTATAGTCTAGCGTAACCATGCAACAGGGAGATTCCACGGGAAAGCTAATTGGAAAAAAAATTAAATTTGAATGCCTTCCCAAGTTTTGCTTACAAAACAAAATACCATTGAGTATTGACTATAGTTTGACGAGGATTAACACTTCTGAGAAAAGAGTCACGAATCACTTAATAGTCCGAAGGAACGAGCAAAAGCTGCGCACATGGGGAGAGGAATTAGAAAGATGTGACAATCTTCAGACTACCAAACTGTGCAATGGGGGATATAAGAAGGGTGTAACATTTTTGAACTAAGAAAGGATCAGATTTCTCGTTTATGGTAACCGGTGTGAAGGCCTTTGTTTTGTTTTACTCTAATGCAGATTTGCAACTATTCAGGCACGACATTTTTTTTGATCCGGAGGTAGAGATAATGTATTTAGAAATTTTATCTATTTGTAGACTAAACTTTATTATATAATTATATTTTTCATCAAAAATGCTTCGAGTAATTTTTATAAGATAATTAGCATTATTAAATGCAAGTAAATTAAACCTCCAAAATTCAACTGATAGTTTATGGCAAAAAGTAAATAAATTTTACCATTGCTAATATGATTTGATGTTTTTCCAACAAAAAAGAAAATACACTTTTCTATATTATTGGAAAAAAATAACGCATTTGAAAATTATTTCGGATTTTAAGTTTAAAATATAATTCTTGACTACCACAGAATCTAGTTTTATGATTTGATGCATATATATATATATATATCGTCTGAATTAGTTTTAAGAAATTTTACAATAATGTTTTAATAAAAGTTTTAGAAAATATTTGGTGAAAACATTTAAAACTTTTAGAATATTAGCTGTGTACTGTATTTTTAGGAATTGATATGTTATTTATTTGCTTATTAAAAAAATAATCATATTTTTGAAGTAAAAAAAAGTATAAAAAGAAAACAATAATAGTGTCAGTTTAAACAAACAGCAGACTATGAACTAACTATAAATACTTGCAAATATCAAGTAATCAGAAAAGCTACTTTTTTGAAATTATTTTATTCGAATGGGACCCAATTCTAAAGAGATTTCCTTTATTATATTTCTCATCTTTACAGCAAGTATTATTACAAATTACTATTATTTACACCAACAAACGCGTGATGGCAATTTAAACAAACAATAGACCATGAACTAACTAGAAATAATTGCAAGTATCAAGTAGCAAGAAAAGCTGCATTTTTATAATTATTTTATTCGAATTGGATCCAATTTTAAGGAGGTTTCATTTATTATACTATCGTCTTTACAGCATGTATTATTACCAATAACTATTATTTGCATCAATCAACAACGAAAAGTGGCAGTTTAAACAAACAACAGACCATAAACTAACTAGAGATAATTGCAAGTATCAAGTACCAGAAAAGCTACTTTTTTTTCTTCCAATTATTTTATTCGACTGAAACCAAATTCTAAGGAAAAGACATTTTCTTCGACTGTGAAGTTAACATGCGAGACCAAAGAGACATCAACCAGGACAGTGTCCTATTTCAAAGACGAGTAAAAAATACGTATTGATTTGTCATTATCATGGTCGAAAGGAAAAACGCCTAGAATCCTATCATTCGCCAAGAATTTCGGAGAAGTGATGAAAAGGTGATGAATCCCTTCTCTCCACCACCCCCTTTTGATTCAAAAAAGATGAAAAAAAAAGTAGGAATCGACTGACTTGGCGAAATTACTGGTCATCATATAACGATCGATAACACTTAAGTCACGAAGACTGAAAATGGGATGATATATCTATATTATTTGGATCTATATATGCAAGATATCTGCATATACAGTGCAAAAAGGAAGCTTCTATGTAGGAAGTTTTTTGTGTTTTTTAGGTTTTTTTTCTTGATTGGTTGTGAATGGTGGGAGAGAGATATTTTCTCCTTGATAGAACGTTCGTAAAGTGAGGTGAATGGCTTTTGAGTTGGCTGAATGATCAGATCTTCTCAGTTTGGAAATAAATTTGGGAATGATGGCTCCATTAAATTCAAAAGTACAGAGTATAAAGATTATATCACTTAGTTTTATTTCTAAGGATTCTTCAAAATCTGAATACTTTAATTTTTCGTTTTTTATCTTGATATCTCGTATATCAATTACATTTTATGCATTTTCATATAAATTAAAAAAACGTAATAGTTAATATTCTCTTTAATGTATCTTCTTTTATATAAAGTTGTATTTATTTACACTGTTAAGAAAATTCATAAACAAAATTTGCAATTAGATAATTCATTTGAACTTATGACTACTG